CTTAGGGCCTAGGGCCTTACCCGGCATGTGTCTGTCATAACCCATAAGGWTGCATATAGACGTTAAATATGAATAATAATAAATAACTTATATTAAAGAGCTATAAAAAATAATTAAATATATAATAAATAAATATATTTATATAGATTATATTTTCTATACTCTCTTCTATACTTAAGTATAGATATTAGTATATATTTAATAATTATTTTTTCTATTTATATATAATCTTCTTATATTTAAGTATCTTTCTAAGTATATATAGTTATATATTCTTACTTATATTAGCTATAAGCCTATATCCTTAGCTGACCGCCTATATACCTAGTTATAAAAATGACTAGTCATGGTGTTAGCTGCTTTAATAAACACCTTCCCTTAATAGTACTAGATTCTGCCTAGTATCATGCAAGTTGGTTTCGTAACAAATGTTACAGATACTACCGATCCGGTTAGTGGATCTGCAAATATGCTTAAAAGGGAAAGCGCCCTATCAATGCCAAGACTTTCCGATTTATGACTATCGATTTTCACCTGCAAGTATCTCCATCAGGATTAATAATTTAGACATGAAAATAATGTCTACTGGGTTGCGAAGTAATGTGATTTTAGAAAATATAAAACTAATAAGATAATAGTCCTGGTGGTCGCTGTATGTCTTGTAAGCATAGGGATAGATGCGATATGTAGCACACTGATTGCAAGATGGCATATATCCCCCTTTACTCACAGACTGGCTCCGTTATGTGTCACAATTCTTCTTCCAAAAGTACAAGGTATCCGGACGGATCCCTAATGAGAATACTTCTTGTTCCGCTCACGGTGACCGGCTGACCGCCAGTGGTAACAATGGTGAGATTCGCAGCACGGACTTGATCTAGAATGCCATCTAAGTCGTGCACAGCGTAGTACGTGAGTCCAATGCCAATGTCCGAGGCTGGGGCAATCTGAGCGACTCTGTTGGGGTCGTCGTACTCGTAGTACTCGCAGCGAGTCACGGGGTCGCAATTTCCCGTCACGGCCGCCCAGGTGACGTTGGAACTTATGTTGAAAACGGAGCCAATGTAACCAACCTGCTCGTATTCGTTCGGACCGATGAGTGGCTCAAAACCTGGCGTGACGTTAAACTTGAGAATGTCCGCGTAGAACGTAAGAGCCTGGGTGTAGTTGGCTAGAGTGAGATCCAACTGGCCTCGAATTATGTACTTCATTCCGGTGCCATTTTGAATGTTGGGCTCAGGAACGGTGAAGTAGTCCGAAGGGCCACTGCGTTGGACCAGCTCGACCATGTAACCATCAGGGTCGTATACCCACACAGTCGACGTGGTGTTCGTGCCTGTGCCTTGCGGGACCGGCTCSCCGTTGACCGTTGAAACATTAGCGGCCCTTATGACGTCGTTGATTTCCGTCGCGTTCTTGACAGTCAGTGTCAGACCCGGTGTTGCTGGATCCTGCTCGCGTTGCTTGGGTTCAGTCCTCCCAATGCCAGCGTATTCCGTAAGTTTGAGGGTCCAGGCCTGATTGGGTATGGCAATAGTTGCCTGACGATAAGTGGCACCGTCAGTTGCAGTCAATTCTGCATAAGTCAAATCATTGATGTAGTGTTCATCATTAGATAAGACGACCAGACCGAGCAAGTTATGGTAGAATTCGACTGTTTCCGTAAGGTTACGGACAGCATGGCCAACGGCCAACACATCGGCTGTCTGGTTCGTGTACGCTGGTCGTGGCGATGGGACCAAGCTTTTTGAGCTGGAAACATGTGGAATTGCTGCCGCGACTATAATCATGGATGAAATGGTTGATAACCTCATGTTGGTGACAGAGAAGTCGATGGAAAAGACTTAGGAGAATAAGAAATGCTTGTGGAGGATCAGTAATTGCTTGCTCGCTGCTGTGTTTTTCGGAATGGGCGAATAGAAGCTTTTAGGCGTTCATCGCTCTTGGACGGCAGCGGCAAAGGATCTCATAAATTGCCGTCTTCTATTGCCACACGTTCAGACTTTCAAGAGGGGAGATTCGTGACGTACGTACTCCTAACGACGATCGTTGCCGCATTTCAAAACCGGGACTGCGCTTCCAAGTGTGTTTACGCAAGTTCATATCAAACCCAGTCGTGCTCGGAAATCCCGATCGGAAAAGCCGAGGACTCCCCAGAGTATAGGGCCTGCGGTGCACTAGAAGAGATGGCTTCCCACATCCTCTTAAAATATCATAGGTACTCTAAGCCTAGAAAGGCTCTTTATTAGGAGCTTATTAATACTAGAGTCTCCTTACCTACAGCAATAAAGAATATCTTAGAGATATATCTTTTTAATAAGTATAGAGCTATACTAGTACTACTCTAGTTTCTTAGTAGTATTAATCTCTTTAAAAATAATACTTAGAGCATTAAAGAAATAGAACTAAGAAACTAATAGAGGTAAGAAGCCTTAAGGAAGTAAGAGAATAAGAGAGTAGAATAAAGAAATAAATATTCTAGTATTTAAATATAGCTATTAGAGCTAATATTTATTATGAATACTTCTATATTAGAAACTATAAGGGATTCTTATAGATATAAAAGCCTATAAGTATACTTAAAAGTCTCTAGTAGATATGCTATATAGAAATAAGATTAAGGCCTAGATTAATATACTATTAGGAACTCTTAGAGGTGAGCCCCTAGGCCTTAGGGCCTAGGGCCTTACCCGGCAGGTGTCTGTCATAACCCATAAGGTTGCATATAGACGTTAAATATGAATAATAATAATAGAACTCTATTTATTCTATTTAAATCTAATGTATTTATATATTATTATATAGCTCTATTAGTTTTATTATCCTAACTCTTATAGCTTTATTATATTTTATATAATTTCTAGTCTATTTCTAATTATTTTATTATTTAAACTATTCTTTTAATATAAGCTATATTTAACCTATCGTCGTAAACCAATGATTATTAATTGTCTAGATCAGAGCAAACTCATCACTTAACGGCGGTTAAATGGTATTTTATTTAAGAAAGGGTAGTAAACCTAAATAATAAAAAATATAAAGATATTCTCTATTAAAGTATAAAGAGATAATAGAGAATTTTTATAATTCTTTTATTATTACTACTTAGTAAAGAAATATATAAAAATTCTTATTTATTAAATATTTAGTTCTAGTCTATTGTCTTAAATTAATTATTTAACCTTAAGTATATCTCTATTTACAGATCTAATTAACTAAAGCTCTTTTATTATTATTTAGATCTACTGCCCTTTCTTAAATAGAATACTATTTAACTGCTATTAAGTGATGAGTTTACTCTGATCTAGACAATTCCAAATCATCGGTTTACAACAAATATCTCTCTTTAAATACTCAACTAATGTCTCCTTATTAGGACTAGCGTCAACTTAATTACTATGGGAAAATGCTCAAGTTCACTATAGTTGAGAACATTTTATTAATAGGGGAGCAGCCAAGCAATCTTGGGGGAGGCGGAGTTATTGCGGAGGTTAAAGGAGTTCAGGCAGAAGCATAGAAGTGGTCCTTAGCGATGTGGGCTAGGGCTATTTTACGGCGGCGGGCTGGCTTAAAGCTATTGAGCCATTCATAGTTTTATAATTTACATTGTTTCCACAGTCTTGCATTTAGTGAGCATACTAGATTACAGGATAATTACAATCCGAAACACTACTCCCATCCTTTGTACCAATTATTCTTCTTGATTTTATCGTAATTGTGTGCTAGATTGTATCGTACAATCTAATAGAACTTTATGGCGGAGCCCATGGCCGGAATCGTAATTCAGCAGATCACACAGTCGGAATAGTAATGCGGCAGTTCACGAGGCCAATGGTCGAAAATCTAAGAAGCCTCCGTTGGTGCATAGACCGATTGTACTTCCGGAGAAAAGCCGTGATTCTCGGGTGGATGATCTGGAGCGGGGGAGGGGCTACTGTAGTAGACGCAGGGTGAAGCATTACTACGTAGGACGTACTTCATAGACTGTAGACTAGTATGACTAGGATGAGGGGGTGATGGGACTTTTTGGACTGTTTGGTGCAACGCTGACGCAAGATACCTCGGAATAGAGAAATGTGCAACGAAAGCCAAAAAAAAGGAAAATCCTAAAACATCTAGCGAAGGTTATAATTAAAGAAACAAACACGCTTTGCTTCTTCTTTGCCCGTTGAAAAATCGATTTTGTGACGAGACATTTTTTAAGAGCCTAATCCTCCATTATGGACACCACCGTCGCAAGTACCGCCTTGTTCGTGAACGAAAATCTCGAGTTTCAAGTCTTACACTTGCCGCGACCTCCCGAACCAGCTGAAGGGGAGCTCCTGATTGAGACGCACTTCTCTGGAGCCAACCCTGCTGATATCAAACATGCTATATTTCTTGGGATTTATCCCGCGATAATTGGGTATGAATTCTCTGGAAAGGTGGTAAAGACATCTAGCGCTTCAAAGTTTCGCCCTGGGGATATTGTTGCTGGATACACGCCGTCGGGTATCCAGAGGCCTCTCAAGTACGGCACTCACCAGCGATACTTGGTTTGTCCTGAAGATATGGCTTTTCTGGTGTCTGCTAGCATGCCTCAGCATCACGCCGCGTGTCTCCCTGTCGTGGCCATGACGGCGGCTGGTGCACTATACAATATTTTCAAATTCCGTGTTCCATATGCGGAGGGAAATGACAAGACATCCAGGCCACTACTAATCTGGGGAGCCTCTAGCGGGGTCGGACTCTGTGCGGTACAGTTCGCCCATGCTAGTGGGATTTATCCGATCATTGTGACTGCATCCCCAGAGCGGCATTCGCTGCTCCGGGAGCTCGGCGCCACTTGCTGCTTTGACTATAAGTCTACAGATATCGTGTCGAACATTCAAGCAGCCGTTCAGGATTATCAATGTGGTGAGCTTGACTGTGGCTTCGATGCGGCCGGAACTGCGGGGAAAACGTCTTCTGCAGGGAAAACGTCTTCTGCAGGGAAAACGTCTTCTGCGGAAATGATGGCCCAATGCCTTCCCAGTGATGCGACCCTTGTGTCCACTGTTGTACAAAATGACCCTCGGTTTAAAACTCCTTGGGCTGCCTCTAACCGGGACCTAGTCTTGCGAATCAATGGAGTTCATGAAGTTAGAATTCCTGCACAACCAAATTCCCAGTGGCGAGCGTGGGAGTGCCTGTTGTGGGCGGTTGAAAACTACGGCGTTAAATTTCGGTTGCCTTCCGTTGAAGTATTTGCTGGTACTGCAGAGGAAGCGTTGGAACAAATAAAGTTGTTGGCTGATCAGCAGCGAGGATTTGGCAAATTAGCATTACAACATCCACTGCATTAGTGACTGTTTGAACCCGGCGATCCCATATCCGCATATACGTACGTATCCGTCAACGTACGTGCATAAAAGCGTGGATATATGCACCGATATACGCCGATATATGCATGTATATGCATACGTATCCACACCAAAGCACTGCAACACCCCCCCGTTCTACAACGTCAAAGAAGCTTTGATATATGTGTTTCGTACGCTGGAAATAGCCTCAATTCTTTACCTCTTTGTACGGATATTGCTTCCCCAATTAGGCCCTTACTAGGGCCTAATTGTAGGCTTATATACGGCCTACCCCCCCCAATTCCCCCCAATTACTTAGTTTTAGAAATCAGTTTATCAGTTAGAAATCAATCCAGTATGTTGATTTGCTAACTGAATGGGCTCACACTTATAGGCTTTATCGGATTAGCCTCACACCAATGCATACTGCGTGTCCCTGGACTGTGTGGAACCGACAATATTCTTCTACTTGTTTTGTTATAATATGGTTTATATACTATAAATTCTGGAGTAGCCTTTCCTCCATCATAGTATGCATTAGCGCCGTGCAGGTTGATTCGTAACACAACAGATTCAAATTTCTATACCCATAACTAAGTAAATAAGATAATAGAGCACTTCCTACTCCATTACACACATTAGATAGCGATGCGAGAAGATATAAATCAATACACCGAATTAAAATGAGAAAGTCTATCCTTCTTCCTGGGCAGTAAATCACATTCAGACCAGAGCAATGGTAACTAGATATAAAGACCATCCATGCAGCAATCAAATTCGCAATCACTACAGAAAGATTGGAACAAGAACTTGAATCTGAATCCCAATCATCGCAATGAAAAGTAAAGCTATTCCACCCCCCCAACCCTCCCTCCCGCCGAAGATAGGACACTGCACGCTTGGAGAAGTTAACCTTTAAGATCATCTACTAGCCAACACCTTAACAAGGGAGCTTTTAACAAGCCAACCAAAGAAGCCAAACATCAAGCACACATATGTTAAAGCAACTTATGGTCTGTCACGAGTTCATACCAGATCTGTGGGAAATGATTATGTAATTAGCACACTAGTGCCCTTTAGGTTGGCACTTCCGGGCGTAATAAAATATCTATCTAACAGACTATTAAATAGAAGAAGCAGGCACGATACAAGTCGATTCATTGGGACGCAGCCTCTGAGAAGTAATTAACTCCGTTTCAGAGATCGCAACACACGTAATATTCGTTATCCAACCACGAAAATATGGTGGGTTCTCGTGAATTGTCTATTGCAACTAAATAGAGATAATACTACGGAGAACGTTGGTTGATGATGCCAACCATTTTTCCATTACTTTGGGCATATCCCCCGGGCTCCGACATCATTCATCCTAGCCGTGCCTAGGGGGCTTGCTTCTATGGCTGGCCACAACCATCTTATCACAACCACGCAAGACTCTTGTACAGTTCTCCTGCTTTCCAAAGGTATAGACTCATGCAGATGAAAAGAATTTAGTCAAATCGACTCTCGTCTGCAGCGATAGAGTCTGGAATTTTTTTGAGAATTCAACGTCATTTGCTGTTCTTTTGGCGGCCTGTATGAAGGGATGCTGTAAAAGGGTTGGGTCACCAGGATCTCGCTGGAGCAGCAAGAAGTTGTTGGTAGATATTGGGTCAACGTAAGAGTTGAACGCCCCGAGTCTGACCTCGCTGTATTTGTCAAGAATGCTTTCATCCGCTTTCCCTTCGATGATTCCGGACAGACATTCGTAAAGGGCACCCGCATCCACCAGGCCACCAGTGAGGCCAAGGCCGCCGAATGGATTGCATACTGAGTGGTAGTCAGCTCTGCAGGGTTCTCCTAGGCAGTGAGAAAAGACAAGAAAATACAAAAAGAGGTTTTGAGTCGCAACACCATTGCATGGATGAACGGCACTTACAATGAGCAGCATCGCCTGCAAGACAAATTCGACCGACCCGCATACTCTTTGCTCGACGTTGGTGAACTCTGTACGGACTAATGCTCACAAGCTCGTATTCCTTTCCAGGTTTAGGATGAGAAGGGAGGATTTTCTCAAATTTAGCCGGTTGTCGCGCGAGCAATTCTTCGGTAGACAAGCCTTGCTCATCACCGTAGGTAACCCGCCATAATCCATCATTGGATATTTTGGCAGCCATGTGCCAATTTTCAGTATCAATGATGAAATTTGTATCGCTATACCCGTACTTCTCGAATGGGTAATACACCTATTCAAGTAAAGATTGCCTGTTAGCGTTGCGTTCCTCAAATTGTTGGACCTGGGGGATGGAAAGGCTGTTACGTTTGTTGCGACAAGCTGGTGGTCCCAAGTCTTCCCTAGCATACTTTTGTCCCCAAAAAGGCTACGCCGTATCTGACTCTTTGCACCATCGCAACCTGCAATGTACAGCGCTTCTAATCTTTTCCTGCCCTCCGGGGTTTCGACTTCGACCCAGGCTTTGTCATTATCTTGACCGACTTCTACCACTTTATGACCCCACGAGATCCGAGCCAAAGGGTTTTTCTCAAGGCGGGAAAGTAGTAGTTGTCCCAGTCTGTCCAATGGCAAACAGTGGATTGAATCAATTTCGTCGAGGCAGCTCCGGTCGAGGCCCGCCAGAGGAGTGCCGTCGAGCTTCCTCCACATAGTGCATCGAGGGATATGTCCTTGTCTTCGCACGTCCTCTAGCACTCCGGCTCGCTCTAGCTCGTGTACGGCTGGGCTGCCATAGTGCGTTGCACGAGGCCTAGCATCCAGTGTATCAGCCATGTCGATGACATGCACTGGAATAGATCGATTTGAGAGCAAGAGGGCGAGCATCAAGCCTACAGGCCCTGCGCCAACGATCAGCACAGAAGGACGTGTCTCTGAAGTCATTGTGTCCTGATATTGAAGAAGAATGGAGAGCTCCTTGTGGCCAAATCTAGCTGTGTGGTGGGTGAAGTAAAATAGAATAAAAGCCTTGCATGATGAACCAACAACCGATTATAAGCAGTGGAGGATTATTAGAAGACGGATGTCCCGACGGATCTAGGCTGGCACCCGAAAATAGCCTAACCGTCGCTGTGAGCTTACAGTATTACATTACATTATCACGTTGCAAACTTTCACAAGGTTGTTTTGCTACAGTGGAGGCCGCGCTGGCGTCATGATCGTGTACTGGTCTCGGGCCTTGAGGTGGTTTTTGGAGGATAAATATTTCATAATAGTCTGCTTCATGCCCCTAGGCCGAGAGACGCCTAGCGATGCAGCACGTTGAGACTGGCTATTCCGGAGGCCCACTGCGGAAGATTGGGGTATATTGCGGAGGCGGAGTTATTGCGGAGGGCTAAAGGAGTTGTTTTGGGAAAGCATCCGAATGTAGCTAGCTAATGGGCCCACACATCCCGTGACAACATTTACCATAATTTAAATGGAATCTTCTTCTCGTGAGTCTATTTAGAGAGTTAAAGAAAATAACTCCTAAACCTCGAAGCAAATCATTGGCAAATCATCACCATGGGTTTTCTCGGAATCCTCGAGGACACTGTCCTGCCTCATGTCCCGGGAACAGTCATACTGAATGACACTTCTGGACAATCCCAAACACTTACTGCTGGCCTCCGGCATGGAACTGGCAAAAACTCTCACATCGTGCTTGTGCCTCAAGTAATAATTCCGCTCTTATACTAATCGCGTTTACTGAATCTTTCTATAGCCTTCCGAAGACCCTAACGATCCCCTGAATTGGAGCCCTTCAAAGAAACTCGCGATCATCCTCATAGTAGGATTTGGGTCTTGCCTTACTGCCGCTACGATGAGCCCCCTGCTCAATTCAGGCCTTGCAATTATAGCCGCGCAATTTGGTGTTTCTATTGGCAACATTACTCTCGTCTCTGGATATCAACTCCTTGTAGTGGCCTGCTCAGGACCGATTGTTTCTACATGCTCGCGAAAGTGGGGAAAGAGACCTTGTTTTCTAATATCGACAGCATTTGGCCTTCTCGGAACAATAGTGGGCTCCGCGACAAGTAGCTATAACGGCTTACTTGCATGCCGCATCATTCAAGGGTTCTCCATTAGCGCTTACGAGTCTCTCATTATATCCCTGGTCGGAGATCTTTATTTTGTCCACGAACGTGGACCGTACATGGCGGGCACTCAGTTTTGCCTGTCAGCAGTCAACAACTTCTCATCCGTCGTCTCCGGCGCCATTATGAACGGCTTGGGTTGGAGGTACCTTTTCCACATCTTAAACGCCTGCCTGGGTTTTCAAATGATACTCGTATTCCTATTTTGTCCCGAAACAACGTATATCAGAGATCGCCGGTATGAAACCGACACGCTAGCAAGCGACAATCTCGATGAGCTCGCCGCTATTGAGAAGAGACMCCAGCCAGTACCTGGGACTGAAGAAAAGGGAACAAGCGCTCACCTCGAATCGAATGACTCTCAACTACCACCCCGGAAAACATTTAAACAGGAGCTTGCGGTCTTCACTGGCACTTACTCCCACGAGAACATTATCCTCCTCATCATTGCCCCTTTCGCTATATGCACTAATATTGCGGTCTTATGTAAGTGAATTTTCTACAATTCGTCGTAATTTGAAACTCTACTGAACAGTCAGGGTACGTTGTTGTTGCTGGGTACCTCATCGCCACCTTCGTTGCCCAATCCTACGTTCTCTCCCAGCTCTTCTCTCCCCCGCCCTATTCACTGAGCGCCCTTGGCATTGGTTATCTATCCTTGGGGCCTTTTATAGGTGGTCTAATCGGTGCGATTATTGTTGCCATCGTCACAGACCCGGTCATTAAATGGGCCGCTCGTCACAACAACGGAGTGCACGAACCCGAATACCGGCTTCTTCCAATGACCGGCTCTATCCTTGCAGGTGTAGGCGTCATGGTCTTTGGCGTACTCTGCCAGAAACACTCGAGCTACTATGCTACTGCTACGGCTCACGGCGTTGCTCTTTGCGGTGTTGTCTTGGGAGCAATTCCTTCTTCTATATACGTGCTTGACGCATATAGGGAGATGAGTAACGAGATGTTCATCAGCTCTATGGTGTTTAAGAACTTATTATTCTATGGGTTCAGTTATTTCGTGAACGATTGGACCGCGAGCAAGGGACCACAGCATGTGTTTCTGGTTTTTGGGGGGTTATCTTGTGGGCTGGTTGCCACGACCCTAATCGTCTTCATCTGGGGAAAGAGATATCGGAGTTTTTGGCACAGACACAATCTGTTGAAGAAGTTCCCTATCAACACACATTCTGAGTAATGAAATAGTGCTGGAGATGTAAATAGGTGCCCGGTAGCATTGTCAACAAGGCTAAATCTCTGCATTCAGCTAGAATTCGCATATTTAACGAAAGAAACGGGGAATGAAACGTCCCAAATGTTTTTTACGCCCGGGAGTTTAGGTGCTTGGCCATCCCGCTCCTAAGCAGCAGGCGCTATTGGCTAGGGGCTTGAACGATTACTACGCCGTACGTGCTCGCTTCCCACCACTGATCTATATCATTCCGTGTCGGAGCTCGCACATCTTATAGAGCTACGTATGCACTCAAGGCTGTTCTAGCTCTCCAGACGATACTCAACGTTCCGAATCTATCCTATATATTGGATTCGTACAAAACCCTCTTATTCCTTCTATGCAGACCTCCCCTTACATGAGCATGATCAACTCGCTGTAATTTCAGAGGGGCGTCTCAATACCTTGCCAAGATATGCAGCGCGAAGATTGCCTAGATGTTTAATAAATGAATTAGCTGCGCCTTCTAGACTATATCGCTGGCCTCGTTTCCAAGCCAAAGGTTCTCGGTCTGTTCTAGACCCTCTTCAATGTCGTAGCACTTTCCAGCTTGCACAAACATGTTCCTTCCAGTCACACCTCTCTTCATAGTATAGTCCCAGTCCATTCCTCCCACGCTTGGGCTGCACTTTACTCCTGGGGCCGCCAACTCATCATACCAGACAGCCTGAGTTCCAGGTCTTGCTCGACACACTCCCACAATGGCCCTTGCCACATCCTCGGGCTGATCTGGAGGCGACCCATTCCTCAGATAAGTATCCCTCCACTTGGTTACCATCCTCGTCTCCGCCATTGCCGGGCTTATAATGTTCACTCTTACATCCTTATAAAAATTAGGAATGCACAAACTCATCGCTCTGAGAAGCCCGAGTATACCGTGCTTTGATGCTTGATACAGAAACCGCCTGGGAGTCTCCTTCCACCCTGTAAGACTGCTCAAAAGCGGCAGTCTTTTGTCGCGTAAAATCATACCGTTCGGGCCTATGTTCCCTTCAGCGAGGAATGTACAAGCGATGTGCGCGAAATAGACCATGCCTGTCAGGTTTACATCCAACGTCAATGTCGGAGGTGGCATTTTCATTGCCATGATTTCGTCAACGCAGGCACGATCGAACCAGCCACCCTGCTTAACCACTCCAGCATTAGCGATAGCGTGGTCCACCCGACTGTAGGCTTCCCATGCAACTTCGAAAAGACTTAAATTGTCGATGTTGGAGCGCGCATCGGAGCGGACAAACCTGACACGGAGAGGAGAAGTCTCGGCGATCACTGATTTGGCATTTTCCTCGTCAAGATCGCCGAAAATCACGACACAATCTTGCGCAAATAGTGAACGTACAAGAGCTGCGCCAATTCCACTTGCTCCCCCCCCGTCGGTGAGGACGACAACTGAGTCGCCAATGTTGAGAAGAGAGACGTGTTGGGGGTCGAATCGTGCCATTAGGATAACAACAGGAAGGACCTTTCTCCGCGTAGGCAGTGTCGAAAGCCGCGCTTCAGGAATTGCTTGGGACCTTTTAAGAAAAGTTATCACTCTTCGTCTTTTCTCAGCATTTGAAATAGCACTTTCCAATCGACTGTATCTCTCGCTGGTATTGGCACTACAGTCAACCCTGGATATAAGCTCAACGCGGCTTATAGCACCAAAAATTTGAAAATTTTTCGTTACCCATACGAATACGCTTTATACCTAGCTATAAGGACAAACACCTAGTACTTTTAAGACTCGTATACAAGGGTGCTTATATACAAGGCAGATTACTCAGCAATTTTAAAATCAAAATACTCAATATTAGCTAAAAAAAATGCAGCAATAAGACTCTCAATAACGCGAGAAAGCTATTCCTACCAAGTAAAAAGCAGTGCTATGCGCTTAAAAATCATACAATATTTATATATTAAAAATGGAGCCCTAGATTCAAAATATACCCTAATATCAGATTTATGCTGTTTTCGCATATAATTACGTCGTTGTACACTTCAGATGGATTTAGACAGCATATATAGCGCGTTGCCGAGTGTATTGAACAACCAAATGGCCCTAAGCCACTACGGCTGATGTGGCCAATGAGAGACCACGCATATATTCAAAATCGTACTACAAGACACTAGCTCCAAATTGGCCCACAAACCAGGGGATAGCACATTTTTAGGGTGGTCTGAATTAGGTGCTTATATCCAAGGTTGACTGTAATTGGTGCGCTTTACGACGTGGGCCGCGCATTTTCGTTTACTAGACCCCGCCGCCGCAATAAGCTGGCGCGATGAATGGCCCAACTCCAAACAAGGTTTGGATAGAGTTGAGTTAATATGTCAGCCAACGGTCTAGCTATTCTCTTTTAGTATAGCGTCTTTGTCACAATTGGGGAACTGGAGTCAAGAGAACGAGGGGATTTTCAGTGCGCATTTGTCTGGGCTGCCAAAACGCTAAAAGCCCTAGCCTTGCCTAATCGGGTCGCCCGCATTTGTATTTCGTCTAGGACAGAGTTGCCTTCGAGGGGGTTTCCAATACAGATAAACACAAAGCAGAGCTACATTAAATCATGCTCAGTTTGTTGCAAATAAGTTCTACTGGGTAGGTGGACGCGTCTGCTCGGTTAGTGGGGGTATCAGGTGTCTTGATATCTGCGTCAAACACCTGCCGCTCGAAGTCAATGCAAATCGGTCGTACTCGAAAAAGGATAGGGGATGAGCTTGGAGATTCGATATTGATAAGCTGATGCCCTGAGCTGAGGACACTCCTCCCTCGTCACATCTTTCTTCAACCCTCGAATGCGAGAGTAATCACCTAAATCACCTTCACCAAAACTCGCGTTGACTTCGTCCCTTCTCCCACCATCCCCAAGCACTTCAGCACCCCTATATTTGAAACGATTGCAAAGCTTCGAGAGCCAGTCAAGGAAGCCTACAAGTCGCTCACCGACTAGCCAAAGTGCACTTCGGCGTAAAATTCGACAGTGGAATCTCTACTTGAACTCTACATTGTCGCCTTCCAGCCTGATGAATTTGACGTGATACCGCGACTTGTCTACGCAGCCTATAAGCAACATACCTAATCAACTGGTAGGCGATGGTCGGGGGTCCATTTTGGAACTTGGCCTAGTTATGGGGAAGAACTCGTCCTAGGAGTATGGACAACCCGTCGGGGTCCCAGATATTTTTTGGTTCGAGCTTACTTTGCTCAATGCCAAATACATCTCCGTCCACGATCGAGCTATATGCCGGCCAGGAGATCATGGTACAGCTGTGATGGATCTAGTTATATCCTGAATATGCCGTATTCACGGAGCATTGTGGAAATTCAAACAGTATTTTTTTCAGCCTATGCGCATAGATTTCACGGTGAAGGGCCAAGTGGGTGGCTTGAGCGGAAAGGTTAGACGCGTGAATAAAAAAAAAAGGAGGGGGCTGAGCGATTAGTCTCAACTCTGGACGTAAAATCTTCAAGCGCGGTCCGGCGATCCAGTGGTGGCTAGTATTTCAAGGCTTTTGAGATGCAGTGATGATCCGTCTCTTTCGAAGTGGTCTAGTGAACTGTATGTGGTTAGGTAATGCCTCTCAGCCAGGCCTTTCAAGCGCCGGTCATCTTCCACGCTTGCAGGACCCTAAAATATCCGGGGGTTGGAGAATTTCCGGGCTAGTATCAACGGGGAAGCGAATATGAGTAAGAAATTGGGCCAAAATATTGAGTCAAGATAAACAGGTCATTCCCCAATCCTTCTACGTATAAATATCTGCGATATCTTGATCCTGTTTATATGTGAAATCCCAGCAAATTGCACCAACAAATTTAAATTTACATGAATTCAAATATTCGCCGTGTCATTCACCCTCTAATTTGACGTTAAAACCACCGATATAATCGTTATAACCGTATATGCACCGTTGTTGCACCAATCAAGTCCCGATGTATGGTGCCAAGCTGTATGAGGTCGTTGTCTCATATATTCGGGACCCTCCAATTAGCCTAGTTCCAATACATATCCCAACAATTGTCCGGGGTGTGGATACCGCCCGCATTCTCCGGCTTTGCCCACTGTACCATTTCAAATTCTCTACAGGCCCACACAGCATCTTCGACACCTTTCATCAATCTTTTCGAACCGTCCTAGATCTCCTACCCTGATGGCGACAACACATCTGGAAGTCTACACTCATGAGGGGGCGGTGATGTACAAATGCCATTCATGCGATGACCAGTTTGCACGCAAAGACAATCTTCGGCGTCATCTGCGGAGCCATGCCACTCCGCGATTTCAGTGCGATAAGTCCGATTGTGGAATGCGATTCCATCGTTTGGACGTTCTTAAGCGCCACAAATTGGTTCATGAACAATACCAATCTAAGAAACGTAGAAAGCCTCGGAGGGGTGTATTCCCTGAGAGTTTCATTCAACGACGCTCCGTCGCTGCTGCATCTTCCCAACCAGAAAGTCTAGCGGACTTACCACTGAATTCCCCGCCTGGCGGATCACAAACTGCGATGTCGCCCGCAAACCAAGAGTCTGAAGCTTGTAGCGCTGTTGTTGACTCTTACCCAGAATATTCCACTGCAAGCCTTGATCAAGATTTCGACGCAACCTCTGTCGAGAGTCACGACGTATCTGCAAAGATCGATGTATGTCTATATCAAGAAGAACCCTCCCAACCACTACGGAAGTACTCTATCTGATACACAAACAGCCAGATAATTGTATTCTGCTTTTTTGCTTGTCTCACTTCCGTCTGACTTGCATTAAAAGGTATCCCTTCATCCACCATACAACAATCTTCGACCCTCACCTACCAAAAGGCATGACTCTGGCAGTCGCTGCGGTAGCAGGAATGTGGTTTGAACCATATAAACACCAGTGCCGTCACTTTTTTGAGGAGGCTCGCCAGCTGGCAATGCCAGCCCTATCAACTAGCTACAGAGAACTATCGGCATTGGATGTTCTCTGGACGACCACCAAGCTACACGACCTTCAACTCCAAGTACTGCTCTTGGAATATGCCATATGGTCAAAGGAGAGCGAATTAGAGTCCTGGGCATTCCGACATATCTCATTGCTATTTGTGCTAGTCTTCCAATCATCGCAGGCGTTACCAGCCGCAATAGTCGAAAATGTTGAGCTGAATGCTGTCAACAAAACCAGACTTGACCTTCAATCCACAGGAGAAGCACCACCTTCTTGGGCGTCATGGATCTATGATGAAGAACTGAAAAGGTATGCGCTGCGCGAGAAGTATACGAATCCTTCCTTTTTAAGTAACAGACTACAGAACAATCTTTGCCCTCTACTGCCTTTCGACTAAAGCCTCACACTTCCTGGGCCATGAGGTCTACGTGCCCATTAAAGTGGAGGTGCTACGGATGCCCGCATCGGACGACCTGTTTAATGCATCAATGGAAGCAGACTGGGAGCAGTGCAGGAAATGCGAGTCACGGAAGCCAGACCAGAGCAGCCTTAGGGGAGCTTTGCTCGCGATTACTTATCTGAGGCCAGACTACGAAAAGACCTACGCTTCCTTATCCCCTTTTGGGCGTCACATCTTGCTTTGCGGAATAACTGCTAAGGCAACGGAAGCAACACGACAGCCCTTGTTATACGACAGCTTTGACGCCTACGTAGCGTCTGACCTCCCCTCCCTCAAGCTGAAGGACGATTTTCTCAAGGCACTGAGAGCATTCCACAGATTTTTGAGGCCAAATCCAGCTTGTCTATCGATATACGCGCCTTGTAATACAATGGATATCCAGAGCCTACTCTTGGTCTGCCATCTAGAAATAAGTTTCCTGTATTCCACCGCCGAGGATGTATCCGAGTACATCTCTGACAACCTCCGATCTGCCTTTATAGTTGCACTTCAGCCCTTCTCTGACATATCAAAGCATGGATATATTGAGGTAAGCTGCGTGCATTATCTGATCTGCTATTCCGGGACACACACTGAACCTAACGCTGATTGATTCAGATTGCAACTCAGGGTCCTTGGCGACTCGATAAAGCCAGTTACTATGCTACTAGAATCGTAACTCAGGTGATAATGAAGTGGATAACCAAAATTTGCGCACTAGCCAGCAAGGGGCGTGTTGAGGAAGCGGACAAAGGACTCTACCTCCAATTGACCAGACTGGTAATGCAGTCTCCAGGATTCAACAACGCGGCCGACCTCGAAATAAACTATAATCCGGCCACGGTTGCTAGAGCAAGGTTAGTGCTGGATGAAATAATGTCACTCATAATATCATGATAAAATGCATCCAGTTAGTAGCTTAGGTGACTCAAGCAATTGATACCGCTTTCCAGCCCTTCCGGCCTATTATTACAGCTGAGACCGACTGTCTAATGTGCTAGGTATGCGCGTATTTGGATTAATTAAATGGATATTGACCTGACCGCTCTTGTCATTTATTCCTATTCCGATTAATACGCCAGGATCTTTGATTGTTTAGCCCCTATGCAGACGTCGGACATGAAAGAAGCAGCGAAACCAGGGCTGGCCTCTTGTCCAATGCAAGCCTCTCAGCGGAGCACTGTGGGGATTTTTTGGCTACTCAGTAGATAGATGTTATGATGCCTTTGCTTGATGATGAATTGTATAGTGAACAAATAATATGATAGACAACGATGATAGGGTTTATTGACTGTTGACTTTTTGGCGGCGATGTTGGCGAGAGCTTTAGCTGGGTTGTCAGCCATTCAGTGGGAAGATCAGACGAAAAGCCGCCCTTCTACTATGAAAGACAAAGTTGCATATCCAGATTCTGGTCATGATGGTGGTTTCGACGAATTGAATGAATCGACAGGCCCAAACTAGACTTCAGTGTAGATATCACCAGGGTCTGAGCCGACATTGCGTTACTCTGGCACATCCTAAAGAGAGGGCCGATTAATCGCTGACGAGGACTAGGACAACGGAAGGCCGGAATCTAGAGGGCCCATAATTATGGCCCGGTAAATACTTCGATGAGCTTTTCCCAATTTCTCCAACTTCTCCTAAATATGGACCTCATTGCGCTATTATCTTTTGGTGTCAGAAATTTGAGACTAGGTTGCATAGAGCTTGCCTCGTTTCGTTCGCTTTGTGTAGAGTCTTCAGCCATTTGAGAGACGGAATGTGAACGGTGGCTGGCATGATGAACGCTTGTAAATACATGTATACAAAGCAACCGACAACAACGCTGAGTATTCTCGTATAAAGCTTATAAGGACTTATCCTTCCCATCTAGTACTTCCTGGAAAACAGCATTCCTTGCTTATCCCAGTGTTAGTTTACAGTCAATTCTCTTTGTCCATGTTCCTGAGTCAGTTGTTAAGTCACGGACCAATGGGGGGAGCAGATTCTAAGTTAGAAGACCAGGGTCGGTGCCATACCGGTAGGCATTCAGGTTGGCGGAATGGCTGGCTAAATGGCTGGCATGTAAGAATGTAAACGGGCACGTAGGAGAATAGGCACCGGGTAGGTGCCATACTGGCAGGCATTCAGGTTGGCCGAATGGTTGGCCGAATGACTGGCAGTTGGGAATAGCTTCAGAGAGGGCCCTGCCCGAACGTGCTTCATGAGGTCAGCTCGTAACAACTAGCAACCATTAGCAAAAAGAACCTGAATAATAGGGTCAAGTAACTGGAAATAAGCTATAGTATTAGAATACACACGTCTCACGTAATTAACTATGAGCTTTAAAGAATTTTTTAACACTATTTAATTGTTTTGCTGGTTTGATTGTTTTACACTTATTGTTTATTCTATTTATTTATTCATATTCTCTGTGGCTTGTCCTATAGTACGCCTTCTGTGGCTGAGATACACTTTTGTATTGGTACCTGCTAGCTCAGGCATATATATCATTTACTCTGAAAATATTGACAGGCAATGTCGTTAATTCCCTCTTCAGTCACTTTTGATGCGCAAGTCTCGGATTTAAGATATATTAATATTCTAAAAAATATTTTGAATAAGTTATAACAGCTATAATATTCTATATTTTAAGATTAATACTTCTATTAATGCTATTAATTTATTAGTAATACTAATACTAGTATTATTATTTATCTTATTAGCTATAATAGAAATATACTAATTAAAGATTATTCTTATTTATAAAGTAGTTACTATATTTAATATAAAAATAGTATTTMTTAATATTATACTACTAAAATAGATCTTTAGATTTATAATATATAGTATATTATATATAGTAATAATATAAGTCTATTAAATAATTCTTAAAGTCTTTATAATTTTTAAAATTATATATTTTAAGATATATAATATAGATATAATACGTCTTAGATTTCTATAAATAGGTATCTCTAGTATTAAAGTTAATAA